TGAGCGGGATTGTTGAACTGAACTGTCCGTGCCATGGTAGCAAGCCTGAGCCACCCTGCCTGTTTGAACCTGTAAGTCTGAACCTGAACCTGTACCTGAACCTAGCCTGCTCTGTCTTATCTGCCTCCCAGGCCGGAAACCTGTGTTTTTCCAATAAATATTGGACTTTATCCTGCCTCTGTGTCTGTGAGTTCTGCATCTGGGCTAGTAAAACCTACCTGATCATGACAGAAAAATCCGGCCAACAGACTAGCCCAGCAGACTCAATGGAGACATACCTGACGATGTTTGAGGAGGGACCGACTGACTCCAAGGAACCACCCTGGATGGTGTCGTTCCGTTGATGGCTGGAGATTCTGAGCCGTCTTTAGACCCCTGAGCCCGCTCTGAGCCGTCTGGAGACCCCTGAGCCCGCTCTAAGCAATCTGGAGACCCCTGAGCCCGCTCTGAGCCGTCTGGAGACCCCTGAGCCCGCTCTGAGCCGTCTGGAGACCCCTGAGCCCGCTCTGAGACGTCTGGAGACCCCAGAGCCTGCTCTGTGTCTTCCAGAGATTCCTGATTCGGAGCCACAGTCAGTGGTTTCCGGTGTTCCTGATGTGGAGCCGCAATCGGCGGCCTCTTCAGTTCCTGATTCGGAGCCACAGTCGGTGGTTTCCGGTGTGACTGATTCGGAACCGCAATCGGCGGCTTCCTCTGTTCCTGTTTCGGAGCCGCAGTCGGCGGTTTCCAGTGTTCCTGATGTGGAGCCGCAATCGGCGGCCTCTTCAGTTCCTGATTCAGAGCCACAGTCGGTGGTTTCTTGTGTTCCTGATTCGGAGCCGCAGTCAGCGGTTTCCGATGCTCCTGATTCGGAGCCGCAGTCAGCGGTTTCCTGTGTTCCTGATTCGGAGCCGCAGTGGGCGGCCCTGTCTGAGCCTGTTGCAGACCAGCAGAAGCTGAGACGGCGTTCTCCTCGGAGCTTCCTGCAGAAGCGGAGACGGCGTCCTCCTCTGAGCTTCCTGCAGAAGCGGAGACGGCATCCTCCTCGGAGCTTCCTGCAGAAGCGGAGGCGGCATTTCCCTCGGTGCTTCCTGCTGAAGTGGAGGTGGCGTCCTCCTACAAGGTCCCTATGGCTTCTGAGACTCCGGCCCCTGGAGTGTCTGCCTCTGCTCCGGTCCCGTGGCCAGTCACCTGACACTCTGCCCTGCTGCCGGTCCCACGGCCGGTCACCTGAGACTCTGTCTTGCCTCCGGCCCGCGGCCGGTCACCTGAGACTCTGTCTTGCCTCCAGCCCTGCGGCCGGTCACCTGAGACTCTGCCTTGCTGCCGGTCCCACGGCCGGCCACCTGATACTCTGCCTTGCCTCCGGCCCCACGGCCGGCCACCTGAGACTTTCCCTGTCCTCGCCCACCCTGGGTGGGTTGTTTTGATTTCTGGACTCTGTTCTGTTTCTGTACCTGGCCCTCCTTGCCTGCTTCCCCCTCCGCCCACCCTGGGTGGGTTGTTTTTGTTTTTGGGTTTTTTTGTTTTTGGGCGTCTGGTATCCGCCCTTAAGGGGGGGGGGGGGTACTGTTGGGATCCAGGGGTTTGCCCTCCAGAGGGCGATGTGGACCCCTTTCTGTGGGTTTCTG